TTATTTAATTATGTCTCTAAGATTTTTCATAAGAAATTTTATTGAAATTTTTGTTTGAGTTCCTAGGGAATGGGATGGTACAAGCCTGATGTTTGGGGTCAACAACGTGGAATCCTGTCCACATGCTACCATTTTTTTTCACTTACCATAATTACTGGATCCCTGTTGGATTGTCAGAAGCCAGTGCTGTTTGGAGGAATCAGTTTTAATAAGATCACGTGATTCCAGGTAAGCAGAGAATAAAGAAGTAACCTTCAGTTGGCTCAAGAATGACAATGACTTCCCCTGACTTCCTGTGTGTGAGCTGCACCAGGCACTAAGTACTCAGGAACACATGGCCTGCTTTTCTCCTGGACCCACAGGCACTTATTGCCCTCAGCAGAGGCCGCAGACTCCCTGGCAGAGCTCCATGTCCTCCCAGCCTCAGGTCCTGTCTGCTCTCCACACACTGACTCTGTGTCTTCCTTCCACAGGACCAGCCTGTTCCTTTCCCTGCCCTGAGCAAGGCTGGTGTGCAGCCTGGGAACATGAGGACAAGCCATGCCATGGCCTCCTATGCAATGTTTCCCCAGGCATCAGTCTTGGAAGTTCACATATGGATTCTCCCCTGTGATCTACTGGTTTATACCACTTTGGTGCTATTTCAGAGCCCACTGGATTCATCATGCTGTCCCATGTTGATGTCCTCATGGAAACCAGTCACCTGGCCTTCCTGTAGGCAGGCTGGTGGCTTCCTCTGGTCCTCAGGTTTCTTCCTAGCTGGAGGAGGCATGGTGTGCTCCATGCAGCACCCACATAGAGAGGATTAGAATCTTGGCTCTGTCTTAATGATTGTGTGTGACATCAGGTTAGTTTCTTCACTTTCCCCACATCTCAGTTTCTCATTAGCAACATGGGAATAATAACATATCCTTAGAGAGTTGCCTGAGGATTCACTAAAATAACATATGTGAATATTGTGTATCTTAGTATCTGGGCACATACTACATTCTTAGTAATCACTAATTTTTATTGCTTAGATCAAGTTTCCTGGGAAACAAATGTACAGAGGGGGTTGATGATCAATGACTTTCCATATTCTTCTGTTTCACACAGTAACCAGTATCACCTTAAAACAGCAAAGCAGCTGAACTTGGGGTGTATCCTTGAGATCCCAGTGACTTAAAGTGCTGAGGCAGAATGATTGCAAGTTAGAGGCCAGCCTGGGCCACTTAGAAGGACTTTTATCAAAATGAACATAAATAACCAAACCCTGAAACAAGTCCCATTCTCCCCTGGGTAACTCTTGGGTGGTTTCTCAGTGAGCTTAGAAGCTTATTTTTCTTGTCCTAGGGAGACATCCATGATCCAGTACTTGGCCTGTGGATTGGAGCCTGATGGGTGCTATGTAACCCTGTTGCCTAGATATCAGACCATGGAGAGAGCCACTGCCCTGGTGAGGGTGGGCATGGCATCCCCCACACCCCAGTTTTCCCTGCAGTTCTGGAGATCAAACCCAGAGTCTACCACATAGTAATTAGCCCACTCCTGCCAACCACACCTCAGAACTCAGACGTAGGTGGGCTCTGACTGTGGGTTCAGTGACCACCCTGACCCCTGTTGTTACCTGGTGGTATTTCTTAGCAGGCCCCTCTCCCTGGAGCTCTCTACCTGGGCCCTCTTTCTGACCTGCTCATTGCTGAGTCCTTCTCTCTCAAGACTTTTGCCTACACTTGCAGAAACTGCTGCTACCCACCTTCTTCTGGTTCTCTGTGGCTCTGGACCTGCTCAGAGCCCTGGATCTGTCTCCTGAGGAGTCCATGTGGTGGGCTTTTATCCCCTAGCTTCTCTTCTGCAGGGAGCTGAAAGCCCTGACCCTTCCATGTGTGGAGGGCTCTATTCCCAGGCCAGTCCTCTCTGCATGAAGACAGGGGTCCCTGGTGTTTAGAAGTCACCTGTGCTCCTGGACTCCTAGCACATGCGTGGAGTGGGTCAAAACTAAGGAGGCATTAGCCCTGGAGGGCAAGTTTAGTAAGATCCTCAATTTTGATATTTGCTTGAATCATATTTGAATGTAACACTAAAGAAAATTAAATGAATTTAAGATGTAAATATACTTCAGTATTAAATAAAGTGAGAATAAAAAAAAATAAGATCTACCTTGAACATAAAGACACAATAAGGAAAGGTTTGTGTTGTGGCATTTTGGTTTTGAAGGATAGTTCCATGTGTTGATTGTTTTTTATTTTATCTATCTCTTTATCTATCTATCTATGTATTTATTTTTGTCACCAGCTCAAGATGCAAGGGGGTTGAGAGAGGAGTGATAAGCTGGTATTTAAGGACCATCTCCGCAGGGGACTGCATAGCTTCTGCAGTGCATAGAACCACCTTTGTGTGGTGCTGTCTGCTGTGGGCTGTCAGGAGTGTCTCCCATGAGGGCAGAGCACTAGGGGTCCCATTGGATGAACCAAGTCCAGGTCCTGGCACACAAAGGTTCTGTTTGAGCCTGTTTCCCACATGTAGAATGCACACAAAGGTCAGGCAAGGTATCTGACTCTTCATAACCCAATATTCTGAGATGCTGAAGCAGCTCTGAGACATTGACCCCACATCACAGCAATCCTCACAAGAGGAAGGCTAAAGGCACTTAAAAAGGAGAGACCTTCAGGGGACTGTGCAAAGTGTCGGCTGGACCAGCAGAGGGCAACAGTGAGCACTCTCCTTTCAAGGTCCCCTTCAGATCTTGCTGCTGTTCAGGGACCCTACATGAAAAGGTGTCTGCACCATTTGTGGGAAATTAGGGAGAGCTGAAGAGTGCAGGGGACACTGAGCATTGCTTCTTGTGGGGTCAGGAGACTAATGTAGACTCTGGTCATGCTACTCATTAGCGGGAGTTTTTTTTTAATGGCTCTTCTCTTGTTAGGGTGGGCAAAACTGTAGTTCACTAGGTGGTGTGAGCCTGGGCACCGTGAAGCCAGCTGACCTCAGGGAGCATCTCTCTTGAGTGACCCCATACTTGGAAGTCTCATGGAAGAAGAGATATGTTTAAGTTCACACACACAGACAGGTAAAATCACACATTTTATTAATTGTGATGAGAAAAAGACAAAGTTTACAAGCTGAGGTTCAAACTCTTCCCAGAGACAACAGTGGGGACAGGAAGGTATTTTTTCACTTCACACTGACCTTAGATGACAAAAGAAGTCTCATCTTGAAGGAGCTCATGAAATAAGTTCAGCGTATTTGGAAAGGTGTATGTTGGGTGTCTTTGATCCTGTTGTTTCTTGGATTTGGACTCTGTACTGGAGAAGGAGGACGGGACGCCTGGTTTGACTTGACACCTGGTTTTGGCCTGAACTTGTCCTGAATTCAGTGAGTGACCTGTTAGACACATCTGCTCTGCCTTCTTCCCTTGTCCCCAGGCATAACAGTTGGGTTCTGAACGTCTCTCTGAATGTGAGTGTCTGCCCCTTTGATGGACAGGTGGGCGAGCTGTCTTCCTGGAGCTGCAGAACATCAGTGTGGAGAGCACAGGGCACAGGACCATGTGGACACAGAGGTAGCTCACTTTCAGGGAGGTTTCTCTCTCTGAATCCTGCGCTAGGATGTTCCACTTCTTGCCCACCAGAGGGCGACATGATCCTGGAAATACACTCACCATAGCCTCAGCCCTAAAGAGGCTGATCTATCTTTCAAGCATAATTAATTTTATATTTTTATCTGTTAAGACAGCATCATTAGGGCTGGGGTTGTGGTTCAGTGTTAGAGTGCTTACCTAGCACATGCGGGGCCCTGGGTTTGATCCTCAGCACCACATAAGAAATAAAATAAAATAAAGGTATTGTGTCCATCTACAACCAAAAAATTTTAAAAAGCCTTAAAAAAAGAAAACCGCATCATTATAGGACTGAGCAAGACACCGTTGTCTCTCATTGCTGTCACTCAGGTTGTCTTTTGTGCATTCACAGCACTCAGAATGGAGGTCACCACTGTACTTTTTACAGCTGGCCCCATAGCATATTGTTAAGGCTGTGTGCTCCTGGGTGAGGCAGGGGTGCTCCACAGAATGATGTGGGGACCCAGGCTAGGGAGGCTCCATCCCCCCTGGAATCTGATTGACTTTTTGAACATTATTTTTATCTGTTAAAGAAAACTGTTTTTCACCCCCCAAAATATCACTCTTTAACAAGGCAAACCATGAAAGAGAAAAACAAAAGACACTCTCTATTTTTACCGGGATAAGTCAGCTCATTTACTTCATGGAATATTCAGGAACTACTCAACATTTCCAGCCATAGACCTTCTTTCTGTGATGCTAACATTATGCGTGTTTTCGTTATCCAGTGAAACAACATTACTTTCTGTGGCTCATACAATTATACGGATTGTATAATTTTATATAAAATATTGCCCCAACCCAGCAGCTAAGCTATTAGCATTTTATCCTCCCCACCACCCTGCCTTTCTGTGAGTGAGGAATCAGGCCATGGCTTCCTTTGTGGCCCTGGCTCAGGGTTGGTCTTGAGCATGTTGTGGGATGTTGGTCAGTGGTGGAGGAGATGCCTCTTGGGCAGAAGCTCTTGTTTCCATTCCCACAGCCAGAGGATTGACTTTTTCCACTCTATGAAGCAGTATAATTTTTAATTACATTTATTTCCTTTTTTTTCCTGCTAACACACTGCTTTTCAAGCTTTCCAGGTTTATGTACATCTCAATGTGTACAAGGTACTCACCCGTCATTTGTGCAGCCAATATTAGTACACATTCATCCACAAATTCCTGCCTTCCTCCATATGCCTTTTACATACCTCCATGTCTCTCTGAGTCATTGCTCCTCTGTGAGCAGTGTCTTTAGTGGTTTCTCCAAAGTAAGGACAACTAACTGTCTGGTTTTAATCAGTTTCCCTTCACCACAATTGCTTCTTTTACATTTCTGGGATTCCAAATATTTTAAAAATTACTTATTCACAACATTCTTTTTAAATTTAAAAATTTTGAATTATATTTTCTTCCACATAAATAAATATTTGCATATAAATTTAATACTCATCACAAATAGGACTTTGGGATTTCAGTTACATTCGCCAGGAGCTCTATTATCTAGGAATCACCTTCATCACCAAGGCACAAACTTCCACCCTCTTGAGTGATTTTTCCGACTCTGATCCTTCCCAAGATGAAGGCAGGGAGTCAAGGGTGTCAGCAGGGAGAGTGGAAACTGCATCCTCACTGTATCCCTGCTGGTTCCTGGAAAAATAAGAGAGAAATAAAAGATTGAGTACCCAATTAATAAGCCATTTCCATCATTTTCCTTTCATAAGTTATTACAAGCTTTGTAATTTTTTTGTGTGTGATTAGATGTGAACCCCTATTTCACAAAGAACAGCATTTGTAAGCACAAGGGACCTGCAGAAAGTCCCTACACCATCCCTGCCTGCACCAGAGTCCTGTCCAGGGCCCAGGTCTTGCTTTTCCTGCAGTGTCCTCACTCATCCTGTCTGCTCACTCAGAAGGTCCCTGGACACCTCTGTGCTTGTCCTCCATCTGCCAGGCCAGGCTGCTGCAGCTGACAGGGCCACTCATGTGTGGCCGAGCTGTGGCCCAGGCAGTCATGGTCCACAGCCCTCAGCTGTACCCTGTTCTCTGAGTTCCCAGCACCTTCCTCTCACAGGGCAGAGAATCTGCTGAGTTGCTTGCCAGACCAGCATCTCATATGGCAGCTGGGCCACCCAGGTAGGGAGGTTTTTGATCAGGGATGCACCACTGTGGGAGGAATATGTAGACTTTGCACACAGTAATACACCCAGCATCCTCAGGTTCCACCCTGATATTTCTCAGTGTGAAATCTGTCCCTAACCCACTGCCACTGAACCTATCTGAGACCCCAGGGAACCAGTTGGAAACCCCATATATTAGGACCTGTGGAGTCTGGCCTGGCATGTGCACAACCCAGTGTAAATAGGTTTTTCCATCACTGTATAGGAGGCTCTTTCTGGACCTGCAGGAGATGGAGGCTGGCTGTCCAGGAGTGACGAGCTCGGAGAGAGGAGTCTGGTTCATCACAACATCTCCACTGGTTCCTGTAAAAATCACAGAGCAATCCAAGGTTATGTAGAAAATTTATGAAATGTTTTCCCATTTTTTGTACATTTAAGACTAAATTAATTTTTATTTTTGATTTATACATCCTAAACTATTCATAAAGAACTCTAGTTGAGTAAGCTCTAAGAGCCTCTCAAAAATTCCCTTCAAAATCCCCCTTGTATTATGTGACAACTTTTATCAGAGCCAGTCCTTAGCTCCTTCTGAAATACTGCCTCACATCAATTGACCTCAGCTGCCTCATCCTGGAGGACGGACCTGCACATCCCTCATGTGGACACAGCACACATGGACAGAATGGGGCCCAGGGCTCACCTCCTTCCCCCTTCTCCTTCCCCACCCCTCTGTCCTCACCAGGGATCCAGAGCAGCAGCAGCCCCAGGAGCTGAGCAGGGAGCCTCATTTTGAGAAGCTGAGCTGAGGAGTCCTCGTGAGTGAAGGGCAGGTTAGAGCTGAGCTTTATGTCAGCCTTGCAAGAAGACCCTCCCCAGGGAGCAGCATGCAAATGCCCTGGTGGGTGCTGGCTGGGGAGAATGAGGGAGCGTGGGGACTGCTGCTTGTGAACCCAGGGACATCCTATGTCTTCTACAGTTGGAGGAATTAGAGCAGAGACATAGCCATGGGTGCCTGTGATGTGGGCAGGAGGCCTCATCATGGAAGCCTCACTCTGTGAGTAGTCATGGGGCCCAGGGCCTGCCCTTCTAAGACAGCACAGATGCACAGATAGGGAGGTGGCCTGCAGATCAGCCTTTGTGAGGAAATGACCTTCCTGCTGTCCTCCTCTCAGCTGAGAAGAGAAGAGAAGGTGACAAGTACCACCTCACCAGTTTTGATGGTTGAAATTAATTCCAGCCACAGCATGCAGTTGAAGAGGTTCAAGAGCTTCTGGTGTCTGATGTTACCTACAGAAATACAAGAGCATCAGGGACAGTTTAGATGTCACATTTTCCTCACCCAGTGAATGAAATAATAGCACAAGTGTGACAAGAAGCTGGAGGGAAGAGAAATCTTGTTTCAGCTGAAGAACAAGTAGCCCTGCTAAAGGAAAGAGGACAAGGAGCCTGTCCCCTGAGGTAGTCAATGTGAAGCTCCTGGGGTGAGGTCTGTAACTGGTGGCCATCCTTTCCTAGTCATCTCCATGCATTTGACACTCAGAGCCACCAAACATTTCCCAGGAGATGGACCCCTGAGCCCACGGGACAGTGTGGACAAGGAGGATTCTGCATTAGTTCCTTCTCATAGATGATAGAGGCATCTATGTGCTCCTCCTTGTCAGGGACACTAGGGAGCAGGTGTCACCGCCCTGGGTTTTAAAGTAGATTCCCTAGGTCAGAACTGCACACAGGCACTCTTGCCATGTTCAGGGGGTTCAAGGTGCACTACTGTTGTCCTGGGACTTGCCCCAAGGTGTCTTGGGGAGAAGGTCCTTTTCCCTCCACAGGAAAATTGATTTCAGCCCTCCTCATCCACAGATGGGACAGAGTGAGCCTGTGCTGTGTTGGCCAACATGGCTGAGAGGCTTTTCTCCCCAGCCCAGGACCTCTGACCCAACCTCTCCAGTGTGTGGAACTTGGGCCACCAGCTGCCAAGGACCCTGCCTTGTGTCTCTTAGTTTAGCTAAACTTCTGTGGCTGTTCTGCCCTGATTGGGCAGTGTCCTCTGAACCTGTGAAACATGCCTGTTTGCAGTTTCCCCAGGCTGAGGTCTTCCTGTGCTTTTTCTAAATGAGCAGAAGAAAAGGAAATGAAGGAGAATGGGTTGGAACTCACTGTGCAGGAATAGGAAAAGTGAAGAGTCTCAGAAAGTTCCATAGCACATTACCCCTTGGGAGAAAGTGGTGGGCAGATCACTCCTCTGTCTTCTCCTTTTCCTAAGTACGTCCTCAGGGTGTTTCCTGGGGGATCTCATGATGGGCCTGAGCCATCTCAGGTGCAGCTTAGATCTGGTTATCTCAACTGATTTCCATAGTTAATACCTGATTTCCTTGTAAAGATATTTTTAGGTAAGTAGATTTCCCCTTTCCATGACTTTTCTTCAGTGGCCTGTTTACTATTGTAAATGCTCCTGTTGGTGCAATGGAGCTCTGCAATACAGATGGTTCCCTCGGCACAATATGCAGGCAGGGGATACACTGTGCTCCATCTTAGTCCCTGGAGTCCCCTCTTTCCCTTTCTTCCATCCCCACCCCTCCCTCTTATCTCCTGTCCTCCTTATGTTTATTCATTTGCTCCTTTGTCATTTGTGGGCTCGAGACCTCTGTGGAGCTGGGCTCACTGCTGTGCTGTGGTGTCAGTGCCCAAGCATATGGTGTCATGTGGTGCATTCCTTCCACATTTCCTCCCTCTCCCAGGACCCTGAGCCTCCATCTCTGTCTCCTTTGCCACTGGTCATCCTTCTCTCCTTATGACACCTTACCCCCTTTTCCCCTTCCTTTCCTCTAGCTTTTGCATAGGAGGGTGACATGGGACCCTCACCTTCCAGAGTCTGGCTCTTTCACTTATCATGATGTTCTCCACTTGCATCCATTTACCTGAAATGCCACCATTTCCTTCTTCTTTAAGGCCCTGAGTTCAGCCTGGATTGTGTGGGTGTGGACAGATCAGGAGGATCTCTTTGGCAGAAGAAGGCAGAACCTGACCACACTGAAGAGAGAACAGAGAGGTGAGGGTCCCCTCAGCCATGAGACATGTGGGACACTTCCTTCTTCTGTTTCATTTTCTGATCCATCTGATGATATATGGCAGTGTGATGTGTCTCCTAGTTTTCTGTCACTCGAGTCCAGGCTGGGTCCTCAGCTCCGCCTGACCAGACTGAAATAGAACAGTCTTTGTCAGCTCTCCTTGTTGAAGTTCAGGATCTTCTTCCAGGTCCAGTGTCTGTGGCAGGGTCATCTTTCCACAGTTGTAGGGTGAGGTCCCAATATCCCTGTGGCCATCAGCACAGAGCTCTTGGACGCTGCCCTAATTGTTTGAAATGTGGCTCCTCCTGCCTCCAAGAGCTGCATTAGAGCATCTCCTCACATCCAGTCTTCATGGCCTGAGATCCTCCTTCTTCTGCCTCCATGTGCAGATGGATGGGCTTCAATGTTGAAGACAGATCTAATGTGTACTCTCTCTCTCTCTCTCTTAGATTCAACTTATTTGATTATGTCTCAAAATATTTCATAAGAAATTTTATTGAAATTCCTATTTGGGTACCTTGGGATTGGGATGGTGCAAGGCCTGGGGTGTGGGGCCAACAACTTGAAATCCTGTCCACATACTACCATTTTATTTCAATTACCATAATGACTGGATCCCTTTTGGATATTTAGAAGTGGTACTGTTTGGAGGAATCAGTTTTAATAAGATCAGGTGATTCCAGGTAAGCAGAGAATAAAGAGGTAACCTGCAGTTGGCATAGGAATGATAATGACTTTCCCCATCTTCCCTTTGTGTCAGCTGCATCAGGCACTAAGTACTCAGGAACACATGGCCTGCTTCTCTTCTTGACCAATGGACACTCACTGCCCTCAGCAGAGGCCTCAGGATCCCTGGTTGAACTCTGTGGCCTCCCAGCCTCAAGCCCTGTCTGCCCCCACACATTGACTTTGTGTTTTTCTTCCATAGGACCAGCCCTTCCCTCTCCCAGCCCTGAGCATGACTGGTATGAAGCCTGGGAACTTGGGGACAATCCACACAGTAGCCTCCCATGCAGTGGCCCCCCAGGCATCAGTCTTGGAAATTCACCTATGTATTCTCCCCTTGACCTGTCGGCTTATACCACCTTGAAGTTATTTTAGTGCCCAGTGGATCCATCCTGCTGCCACATGCTGATGTCCTTGCTATAGGCAGGCTGGTGTCTTCTTCTATTCCCCACGTTTCTTCCCAGCTGGAGGAGGCATGGTGTGCTCCATGCAGCTCCCACACAGAGAGGATTAGAAACTTGGCTCTGCCTTAATGATTGTGTGTGACATTGGGTTAGTTTCTTCACTTTCCCCACATCTCAGTTTCTCATTAGCAACATGGGCATAATAACATATCCTTAGAAAATTGCCTGAGGATTCACTAAAATAGCATATGTGAATATTGCGTATCTTAGTATCTGGGCACATCCTACATTCTTAGTAATCACTAACTTTTATTGCTTAGATCAAGTTTCCTGGGAAACAAATGTACAGAGGGGTTGATGCTCAATGATTTTCCATATTCTTCTGTTTCACACAGTAACCAGTATCATCTTAAAACAACAAAGCAGATGAACTTGGGGTGCATCCTTGGGATCTCAGTGACTTAGAGTGCTGAGTGAGGAGGAATGCATGTTAGAGTCCACCCTGGGCCACTTAGCAGGACTTTCATCAAAATAAACATTAAATTACCAAACCCCTATATATGTCACATTCTCCCCTGGGTAACTTTTGGGTGGTTTCTCACTGAGCTTAGAGGCTTATTTTTCTTGTTCTAGGGAGACACCCTTGGTCCCACACCTGGACTGTGTGTTTGGAGCCTCATGGGAGCTCTGTAACCCTGTTGCTTAGATCTCAGCCCATGGAGAGAGCAACTTCCCTCTTGAGGGTTGGCGTGGCATTTCCCCCCCAGTTCCCCTGCAGTTCTGGAGTCCCAACACAGAGTCTCCCACGTAGTAAGTAGCCCACACCTGCCAACCACACCTCAGAACTCACACGTAGGTGAGCTCTGAGGGTGGTTTCAGTGTCCACCCTGACCCCTGTTGCTGCCTGGTGGTATTTCTTAGCAGGCCCCTTACCCTGGAGCTCTCTACCTGGGCCCCTTTCTGACCTGCCCATTGCTGAGTCCTTCTCTCTCAATACTTCTGCTTACACTTGCAGAAACTGCTGCTACCTCCCTTCCTCTGGTTTTCTGTGGCTCTGGACCTGCTCAGAGCCCTGGAACTATCTCCTGAGGAGTCTGGGTGGTGGGCCTTTATCCCCCAGCTTCTCTTCTGCAGGGAGCTAGAAGCCCTGACCCTTCCATGTGGAGGGCTCTGTTCCCAGGCCAGTTACCTCTGGATGAAGACAGGAGTCTCTGGTGTTTAGAAGTCACCTGTGCTCCTGGCGACCTAGCACATGCTCGGAATATTCCAAAGCTAAGGAGACCTTGGCCCTGGAGGCCAAGTTTAACAAGCTCCCTAATTTTGGTATTTGCATGAATCTTATTTGAATGCAATATTAAAGAAAATTAAATGAATTTAAATATATTCAGTAATAAAAAAGTGAGAATTTAAGTTCAGCATATTTGGAAAGGTGTATGTTGGATGTCTTTGATCCTGCTGTTTCATGGATCTGGACTCTGAACTGGAGAAGAGGACAGGGTTTCCCACCCCCCCCCAAAAAAAAAAAATCACTCTTTAACAAGGTAAACCATGAAAAAGAAAACAAAAGACACCCTTTATTTTCATAGAGATAAGTCAGCTCATTAGCACTCTTACACTTCAT